CACCTGTAGGATTTTCCAAATCTACAGTAAGTTTAAATTTGAAGATACTTCTTTATGTTATTAACTACCTATTCTTGTCTAATTAAATGAATTAAACCTTTCCCAGTCCTTCACAACGCCAGAACTACAGACATTGATAAGAAACGGCGCGGCATTACAACTAGCGTCCGAATTTTCTTTGCCAGCCATTAGTCTTAATCAACATCAACCTCTGCACCATCAGTATCACCAATTGCAGGTAACTTTTACTTACAGTGCAAGTACGACATGCATTGTACAGAAACAATATTTTCCGACAGTACCTATACAAAAAGTGAATTTCAATCTCGTTTTAGGGGTTACAGAACTCACTGCCTACGCCACAAGATGTGATAAATACCGGAGCGGATGGCTTGTTTATACCACCACAAGCCTTGTACCAAAATGATCCTATGTTCTTGCAAAAACTTCAAAGTCAACTGCTCCAGCGATTCCCGTCAGTGGAATTTATCCCTTACGCCGCTGAAGCACCAAAACAAGCTCTGCAACCAGAAGCTTCTCAGATTCACACTCAAGTGGTGCATCCTCAAATGATCCAACCCCAACTAGTTCATACACAAATAATTCATCCACAAGAACTTCATCCCCAAATGATTCTCCTGAAAAATGAACAACTCGACAAACCATTACCACAACACAGTGAACCGAAGACCGTGGTACAGAGAGAAACGCAGGAAAATACAGTTGTTACATTTGTACCACAGCCGTTTTCTGTAGCTAATACAACAGAAAAGCAAGCGGAGAATACCCCGCCTCCTCAGCCAGAGAATATCACATTGGAACTTGTAGCATCAGAAACACAACCACCAACGACCACAGTAAAATACATAATTGAGTCTAACACTGAAGAACAAAACACGACTCCTATTTACTACGCGCAAGTAGGACAAAGTGTCGGCAGTGTCATAGCAAATGGATTTTACTCGGCCATTAACGACGTGAGAGCTGCGGCAGCGCTGGCACAAGTTGACCAATCGCCAGTGTACAAGCCTGCCGAGAATGTCACTACTACAACCATTGCCTCCGATTTAAAAGCGTACTTTGTCAAAAACGATGAGAAGTCAGACAATAAAACACAGAGTGCTGAACTGAAACCATTGTTGGGAGTTCCATTTACGAAATCAACAGATTCTGTTAACGTAGCTTATACATTAGTGAGGGCGGATGACAAAGATCCCAAAGTGAATCAGGAAGGAGCTGTATACGCAGGGCAAATTGTAGAAGCTACAATAACCGAAGACCAAGACTTCAACAAAGAAAAAGCTAGTTTGATGTCACGAAGGGCACCGATAAGGCTATTTGCTGTAGACACTAAAAATATAGCTAGTTCAGCTAACACTTTACCACGAGTGTCTGTAGTCAAAGCAAAGATTCCACCGAAGAGCAAGTTGACATTTGATGACAAAACCGGAGAGCCCATCTTGAGAATATATGCCAGTTATGTTGACAATCCTAAGCAGGTAAGTGTACAAAATTACAGAGGTACCTACATTAATTTACAAAACATATATTTTTATGGAGATAATTAAATCAAATTATATTTTCAGAAAGACGCAGTCGTATCAAAATTGACAAATCTAAAGCAAACCAAAGACGCTGCGTCCAGGAAAGAAGTGGTCGATAATTGGAAGGCGGCGACCATCAAGTCAGCCGATACTACGCAAGGAGTAGACAGTAATCACGTAACACAGTTTGGACTTAAACTTAGAGAAAGAAATGATTATTACGAACCATTTTTTGAAGACTACGAAGAATTGTGAATAGGTTAAAGACACGAAAAATACACGTTACAATGTGTGCTTAGTTGGGAGTGTAATGGGAAGCAAATTATATTTTTGATAAAGTTCTGATAATTTTCTATTTGAACGAACTTACGAATCTTTTTACATATTCGAAAGAACTTGAATCTGAAACCTGGTCTAGGTATTTCCTCATACCTATAGAATTCCCAGACCGTAAGATATTAAATTGGAAATATTATACAGTCGAAAATAATTGAAGTTTGGATTACATTCAGTGTTACAGATGATGATAATAATAATAACAGATAATTAACGGGACACTGCATTGAAATATGCGATAAATTAAATATATCGACAATCAGTACCCACATACATCCCAAAACAAAAACAATGAACCAACATTTAAAATCATTACCGCTGATTATATTATCACATACATAAATACTACATTTCCTGACAATTATTATTGTGCTCACACGCTATAATTAACTATTATTGTACAGTGAAAGATATCTGATTTTGGCAAAAGCTACTACATAATTATACTGGATATGAGACATTCTGACACACCACGGCAGAATGCCAATAATTTCAATTTTATACTTTGCAACTCCTCAAACAAGATTTATTAAAAAAATGTGGTGTATTTATAAATTATTTGTGTAAATATGCATTTTATCTAGTTAGTAGTACCTAGTTATACTAAGTTATAATAGTTTGTAAGTTTAGTTAGTGCTAAGTGTTTATGTTTATAAATGGCGATTTCTGTAATGTGCTTCTTTGAACAAGATAGAAATAAATAGAATATATTGACTTGATAATCATAATATTTGTGATCTATTCAAATTAGTACTCAAATAAAATTAATTAAGGTTTTATCCAATAGTTATTTACAGAAAAACAGAAATTCTCCCTTGAATAAAAATAATTTAGGATTACTTGACTTATATAAATGCCAAATTATGTTTCGATTAAAACAACAAAACATAAATTTAATTGTTTTTATTTTTTATGTCTATTACAATTTACAAAATTCTATTTTTAATTAATTTTATTGTTACAGTTTAACGACGCGACGTCTCGCGTCTGTTTCTAGGTTTAAAATATTACATAATATTGTCAATACGAAAACAATAATTAAACATTAGTTGAGGTTTAAAACAATAAGTTGTAGAATAATATTTACAACTATAATTTGTATTGCAATATTAAAATCAGTTTCGTGATTGGTATGTATGTGCTAGCAACTGAGTACATAATATTAATATATTTGGAGATATTAGGCACTTAGATAGTAATTAAAATGCTTCAAGGTTTAGGAAATTACAAAATCAAAAGCCTTCATTTTTTATGGGATAAGCTGATAAACGAACAGACGGATCACCTGATAGTAAGCTATCGGCGTCGCCCATGGACACCTGAAACTCCAGAAACGTTACAAGTGCGTTACCGGCCTTTTGGGATTAGGAATTTGAGGATTGTTGGGATTCAAGGATTGGGGAAGGGGGGGGGGGTAATTGTGCCTCCGATAACCTCACTTACACAACGAAACACAACGCAAGCGTTGTTTCACGTTCTTCTGTGAGGCCGTGGTATTCCTTCGGTCGAGCCAGCCCATTCGTGCCGAAACATGGCTCTCCCACACTTAAAACTCATTCATTCATTTTAACTACTAAATTAATGTTTATGTTTATATACGCGACGCTGCGACTGTACCGGAATGCTGCTCATGAATATGAGCATCTAGCATGGCTTGAAACTAGTCATAGTCCTCGTCAAACAGTTACTTTAGTAAGCCGAAAACATAATAATTAACACTAACTTTTCTCAGAGCTGTTTGCTTTCATGTAAAAAAAATTAATTAATTAAATGCTGTTCCATGAAAATGGGTTGTACTGTGCTGTAACTACATGTTCTTGTAGTTCTAAGAGCTTGAAATACTTTTAATTAAATTTTTTCTCCTGGTACATCTAAAGACTTACATTGTGCTGTTTTAAAAATATTATCTAAGCAGCTAATACCAGCCATATACATTAAACAATTTAAAGTACATATAAACACCAATAATAATAGTAATGAGTTAAGCTAAAAATAATTTCTTACAAATAAAACAAAGGATACTCTTGAAATATAGCCCAAAAACTGTACAAAATAACTTATAGAAAACCTTTTGAGGAGTGTTAAGATTTGAGACATGAATAATGGCAGAATTTAAGGAACATTCAGATTAAACACCACTAGGCTGTATTGATGTATTTTACATACAAAGCCTTCAATTAAAGTGGCAATTATATTGATTTGTGCGTGTCAATGTTTATTAGGCCAAATGTTTCAAAATAAATAGTTCTTCTAATCAATGAGGATGCACAAATAAGAGAGAGGTTTTAAACCGATTTCAAAAAAAGTGGGATCTCAGTTTGACCTGTGCGTTTTTTTGTATACAATTATCTCGTGATGGGCTAAACCAACTTTGATACGATTTTCAGAAGTGTTTGTTACACTTGGGTTTTATGTAGTATGTTAACTAAAAGACTTAAAAAAACAGAGAGTTTTAGTTTAAAGCTACTCAATTTTAGGTTGTACTTAAATATCGTGCCGTTTCAGTCATTTTACAAAGAGTTTGTTGTGACAGAACTATAGTTAAGCGCGACTTAAAATTGAGTGACGTTTGAGTATTTGGACATTAGTCTGTTAACGTAGTTTATAAAAGAATTATTATTGTGTGTTCAATTGGCACTGCCTTAATAATATTTACGTCATAACTTAGCTCAAGTTTTAATCAATTTCCATCATTCATATATCAAATCTTAAGTTTACAAAAACACTTCAATATAAACAGTTCCTAATTCATTATTTTTAACTAACCTACATTATGCTTCCACTGAGGTGGATACGTTTAATAATATTGCACAGTTATATGTTCAAATTGTAAGCCCATTACCATATAGAAGAAGTCATTAAATTGTGATATTCTTCTACTGGTGGTGATTCTCAAATTGTAGCTACAAAGGTAAATATGCTAATGCTTTTTTAGTTTATATAGAACTACATAACATCTGAGTGTACTAGACGGTCAGTATAGTTATCACTTTCATAAAAACATTCCCGTTTAAAGCTCAACTCTAGCAGTCTATTCAGTATTTATTCCAACAACCCCTTCTCAGTTTATATATTTTATTATGTAATGTTCACCTCAGTGGATGAGCAGTGATGTGGTCCCTAGGACTTGGCATTAAGTTTCTCTAGTTGGTCCATGAACCATGGTCGGCCAGTCGAGCGCTGTGTCAGGATGTCGCAACCAGTCTCTGTCACCAGGAGTGTTTGTTCAAACTGGAAATATAATGTGATTTTTACATAACAAACCTTTTACCACCGAAAGGGTAGGCAGTGGTGCATGTTACGGCACTAAATACCACTGTACAAATGTAACATTCACATTGCACTATTTGTTTTGAGTCCTATGTAATATGGGGTGATCTTATTCCCATATACCGGGCACAATTCCAGATTCCGTGCTACTACTGAGATCTTTTTGTTTTTTTTTTAAACCCAGTAGTACTTTGCCCGACTCAGGAATCGAACCCGAGACCCCTTGCTCGGCAGTCGCAATTGCGACCACTCGGCCAACGAGGCAGTCAAATTTAATCTTTAATATTAACTCAACAGCTTAATAAAAACTAAAAGAAATCTAAACCAATGTCTGATTCTTTACAACTTAAAGGTTCCAATTACAAGATTTAAGATACGAAAAAAATATCAGTAAAGGAAGTTTTTAGTTTTTACATACTTGAGCTGAACGAGAGCCATCAGCAGTAACAGCGGTCCAGTGATCTGGCCACTGCTCGTCGCGCCACCCTCCTTCATTGATCATCGGCTCAATGGTGAAGCAGTGCCCTGGCTTCATCACACCAATAGCTTTGTTTTCTGAAACACAATATTAAATATGAAGTGTAAATCTTCATTATAATGATAAAGTGGGCATAATTTTAGATTATTAATTAATTTCTAACATTAATTTCTAACATTAATAAGAATTTTCAAAAAATATTCAATAATATGCATGACTGAGGAGTACAAACTAAGACTCCTTGCTCCTATCTAATAACCTCGCTCCTATTCTACCCTTTGAGACACGGCACGGCGTCTAAACGGTTGGTGCAGCGGTTGGGTCACCGGCTGCTGTGCAACGTGTCGCGGGTTCGATTTCCCCCCCAAAAAGTGATAGTGGCATTTTCTGAGTTTTTACTCAGATGCCTGAGGCCTTAGCATGGTGTTTAACCCCCGTGCCTCAGAAAGCACGTAAAGCTGTCGGTCCTGCGCCTGATCTCTCTCCGATCCGATGAGAGAGTGAGGGGAACAGAGTGCAAATGTGTTTGCAAACCCACTAGTACACTATAATATCTCCTGTATAATTGGCTAGTCTAGTTAGACAGACTGGCCACCATGATCAAAATTGATCGGGAGATTTATTATGACGATTTTGAGGCTTACAAAGTATTTCTGTACCTAAACCTGTGATCCTCAATAAAAGATAATGATAACATACACTTACTGGCATAATGTGGCACATTGGGTGTAGTATGGAACAGCCTGTGTATGCCATGTCCGCAATATGAGCGTACTACGCTGAGCCCGTTGGCCTGAGCATGCTTCTGAATCACATTGCCAATCTCCCTGTACTTCTCACCAGGTTTCACTATCTCTATAGCTTTAGCCAAGCATTCATACGTAACTTGAACTAGTTTCCGGCTAGACTCAGGCACGTTTCCAACAAAGAAAGTCTCGTTGAGATCACCATGGAATTCTCGGTGATAGACTGTCACATCCACATTGCAGATATCACCGTCCTGTAACCAATTGTTTATTTATCTTCAGTATAAACCTAAGAAAGGATAAAAAATGATATTAAATTATTCTTTACTAGCGACCCGCCCCGGCTTCGCACAGGTGCAATAGCCATGTATCATACATACAAACCTTCCTTAAGAATCACTCTATCTATTAAAAAAAACCGCGTCAAAATCCGTTGCGTAGTTTTAAAGATCTAAGCATACATACGGACATACAGCAAAAGCGACTTTGTTTTATACTATGTATTGATATTGATATATTTTGTTATGTATGAAATGAACAGTAATCAAACTTGAATGCATTATATTGATACTCTCAAGGTATGCTGAAGATAATTTGCTCTTGTAAGAAATTACCCAGTTGTCAGGTTATAATTACGAGATAATAACACTATATAATACATATATGAGAAGTCAATGAGCAGGTATGTTAACAACAAGAGCTGTGTTATTTACTTGAGGTTGATAAACCCATTACATTTATAGAGGTCATATGCTAATACCACAAACCACAACATTACCAGAATACATAAACATGACATCCTTTCCAAAACAGGTAAATAACAATACATAGATTATATTACAATCTCAATAAGCATATTGAGAAAATAATTAAAATAACACTAAGACAGACTGAAGGTACTGCTATGCATGCCATTTTCAGGCACAAAAGCATCCTTCAATTGACGAGTCACTTAGTAGCATGCTCATTTTAGGTATGTACGGTGTGTGGTAAATTTTTCAGCATGCTCGATAAACACCTTTTAGCATCCTACTTAAGAGCATGAATAACAGTTCCTTAACCCTTTGAGTACCGTCATTATAGATACAATTAAAGAACAATAGGTTGCGGTCACCGGTGTCCTCGCGGTGTTTGACAGTTTAAATAATAAAAATATATTTTTGAAGACAAAAACAATAGGTCAACAAACCTCCAAGGGGCGTAGATCAGGTATACCGTGGCAAATGACCTCGTTGACAGAAGTGCAGCAGCTATTAGGGAAGTTGTGATAATTGAGTGGGCTGGGGTAGCACTCACGCTCTATGCAGGCCTCATGTACAATGCGATCTATCTCATCTGTAGTCACTCCCACATCACATACTCTGGAAATTAAGAATACCTACATTATATGATAATACTTTCTCACTTATATTATTAAATATTCTTATAAGATTAAGAAACAAGTTCTAGAATAAATAAACAGAACAAACCTGGCTGCCTCATCTAGCACCTCTCTGCCAAGGCGGCAAGCTACACGCATGCCTTCGATTTCCTCATCGTCAAGCACTTTAATCTGTCCCGAACCCTTAGCGGCATTCTCAGACGCAGGGAAGCCAGTCGGATGGTCTGCGTAGTCCGGGCGGCCTATATGCGGTGGCACTGTACGCTTCGGCCCCGGCGGGAACGGTCTCAACTTCCCAGTGAAATTAAATGACGGCCAGGGGTTATACTCCACACTAGATGCATCTGTACTCTCACCCTCTAAAACAAAATTCACATTGTCATAACGACTTGTAACCTAATACCGTAACATAACCTACAAGGCACTTACTCGCCAACGAGTGAATTATTTTGTGATTCTTCCAAGACTTCTTGAAGCAGTCTTGATTACAAAAAAATGAGCCTTGTATTCCGAGTTTTATACACGTTGGGCATTGCAATTGAGCAACAGATTTGCAGCCGGGAGTTTCACACATTCCAATCGCCGCCATTTTTTTGGAACAACTGTCAATTTTCATTTACTGTCATATTGACAAACACCTTTGTAATGACGTTTTGTGAATGCTGCCATTACCAATATTATAATAAACTATTAGAATAAATAAAAAAATATGATTCACAAAAGAAATGTAAAATGGTTTCTTCTTGTTCTTTGATGACCTTATTAATTATTACAGACATCCAATGATATTACCGTCAAAGTGTGGTTCGTATAAAGGTAGGATAACCTTAGATATTAACTCGACGTCAACCATCATTATTTCTCTTCTAAATAGACTCTGTAAAACAGAGCTAAGTTTATAAAAGATGTAAGTTTATAACATAAGCATGTTTACTCTAATTGTCATAAACATACCTAAAATAAATTCTTGAAGGTATTTGAGCTAGTAGGTAGGTAGGTACTCACGGAATGTTTTACGCATGTAGTTTAACCATCCGTTTTGTAGATCCCAGGAACGAATTATAACGTTCCTTGACCGAGTATACAACCAATTACACGCAGAAATAAATACTTTACTGTCCATCGCACAATCACACCCGAACAATACCCTACAACAAACACTCAATTAGAAAGTCGTGACATGTATTCCTTTATCTAAATTAACCGATGTTTTAAACTCTGTAAGTACACACGTACTGTAATTTAAAATTTGATCCCGTAGAACACTACAACTCAATATTTTTAATCATAAAGAATCTTCTAATACGCCGGTCGATACGTGTTACGATTGACGTCGAATTTTCTTTTAAAGCTGCATGTTCTATTTTTAAATCGTTTAATTTCTTCCAGCGCTGTCCAGCGTTCGTACTGCTAATATTTTTATTGGCGTTGTTGTAGATACGTTCCACACTTGATTGAAAGAGGTTGGTGCAAAAAGTTTTTATCGGGAGAAATCACAAGCATAGTATTTTTTGGTGAGGTTCCGATCAGATTTTTAACATGGTTGTAGATTTAAGTAATTGTACAACAACGGACGTGATTGAACTCGTCGAGTACCGGTTTTATAGACACAATTAAAGAACAATAGGTCGCGGTCACCGGTGACCGCTTGGTGTTTGACAGTTTAATTGTATACATAGTCATGACGTTATGATAATGAAGTCGGTTAAAAAGGGTAGGTAGAGAAGATAGCAGTAAGGTTAACGAACTTCATGGAGGGTAGGGAAGCAAAAGTATCTAATTTACCTTTGCTTTAAAATTAGGTCAGTGTTTACCGTAATGCGGTTCGTTTTAGTGGGTCTAAAGTAAGGTTGTTTACGTCTTTCAAGATAAAATAAAATAGCTAATAGGTACTTAAGTAAGTATTTAAAAACAAGGGCAAACTGTTAGGTCAGTGAAAAAGAAAACCTGAAATATTATTATAGTCACGCGAAGTTTGGTACCTATTTACTTAACTAATGTTAATTGATTGACTGCCTCATTGGCCAAGTGGTCGCAAGGGCGACTGCCGGGCAGGGGGTCTCGGGTTCGATTCCCGGGTCGGGCAAAGTATTACTGGGTTTGTAAAAACCTCAGTAGTAGCACGGACTACGGAGTCTGGAAACGTGCCCGGTATATGGCAATAGGCTCACCCCCTATTACATGGGACTCATAACATAAATAGTGAAAAGTGGGTGTTACATTGTACAGTGGCATTAAGTGCCGTAATGTGCACCTCTGCCTACCCCCTTCGGGGATAAAAGGCGTGATGTTATGATATGTTATGTTAATTGATTGTTTATTTATTTATCTAGAAAACCAACAGCGATACATATGATATAATACAAAATAAAGATATTACAGTTTAGTAAGGCTAATAATAGGTTTCCCTGCTTAACTTAATTTGTATTTACCATGCGAACGGACTTTAAACAATATTTAAAAATAAAGTTTTAATATAGAATTGAAAGTTAAATATACTACTTGTTATGAAGGGAGATAATAATATTAATTTAATTAAAATATGAATTAACATAGTAAATGCTTTATGGTGAATGGAACAAAGTTGCTTGCTATTTTCCTTTATCAATTACAATTGTACACACCAATATTTTGATTACCCGCGAAAACACGAAAATGAATAAGCGTGTCTAGTTAGTTACCTACTATTTCTTATTTTTGTGTTAAGTAACCCTAATTATTTTGTTTTAGGTAACTAGGTATACATAGGCCAGGATGTTTTTAAAAAAAGGAGGCGCTTTATCGTACAGATACAAAAATAAGAAAAACAAAAATAAACAAGGGAAGGAAAATAATAGATAATTATATTTTCTTGTGAGGTGATTAATACAGCATTAAACCAGAATGAATTCAGTAATCGCCCTTGAGGTTTTTAGCGGGTTGTTGGCCAAGCTTCATTTATACTCTGGAATTACGCATAAAGCCGATTAATTGTTGAAAGGCGAGGCAAATGAACCCAAATTAATTTAATTTTCACAGAAAACGTCGATACAATTTAGTCGCTAAAATTGGGCGAGGTATTAAATTAATAGCGCTGTCGTTTTTGTTTTTAAACGGTCTCTCTCGAAAAGTTTTCAGTGTCATTTTGGTAACCCACTATTTTACGTGATATTTTTACATTTTGGTACTCACAATTTGTTTTACGTTAAAACTATACTATAAAATCACGCTCTGCATCCCCGAAGGGGTAGGCACAGGTGTACATTACGGCACTTAATGCCACTGTACAATGTAACACCCACATTTCACTGTTTATGTTACGAATCCCATGTAATAGGGGGTTAGCCTATTGCCATATACCGGGCACAATTCCGGACTCCAATATACTACTGAGAATTTAAAAAATTTAATATTTGTCTCACCCGGGAATCGAACCCGAAACTCCTTGCCTGGCAGTCGCACTTGCGACCACTCGGCCAACGAGGCACAGTTAATTGCTAGATACATTTTAATCTATGTAGTAATGAGTCAGATAATTTTAACTTCATTTTATGTTTACGTTAATACTAACTTAAGCACATAGTTTTATTCAAGGAAGCTTTTATTACCAAGCAAATACATTTTATTTACATAATAGGTATTTATTTCATTTAATGTGGCTGTTACCTAAGAGTGAGCCAAAGAGTGTTAGAAAATTCTAGGAATCTGTTGAGAAGTTGTTATTTTAATTTCGCGAATAAGACAACAAAGAGTAAATAAAAAACAAATGAACGAATGAAAATAGATTCCGAACTTTATTTTCATGACAGTTCAAAATAAAAATAAAAATAGAACCATCAACGTTAAACACAATTATTTATGTAAATCTGAACGTATTCAGGAGAATTTACTGAAAGGTCGGCGACAGAAATAAACACTATTATCCATACAAATCGCGAAGATTACAATACAAATGTACTTAGCTATAATCTAGGGGATTAACAATATTTATTGTCCGCTTTCTTCTTTTGCTAATCCCCGGACATTTTCGGGGGAAACTAAGAGGATTCGCAGTGCGTTGGCCGCTACAGTTCGTTAATTGTGAGGATTAACTTAAATGCATCAGAAGGTCGCCGGAGCGAGGCTTGAGAGGTACCGAAGGCGATATTTCATTTTTATGAACAGAGATAAAATCTTACTTTTTTGTTATTTTCAAATATTAGTATAAGTACCTAAGTAAACGAGTTATGTGTACCTAAATTAAAGTTTTTCTAGACTTAAGTGGTCTTGATAAGAGATCTTAATTTCTTTCAGATTAGCTAAACACGACATTTAGACGTATATTATAAGTACGTGTTAAATAAATTATTATGTTTACGGCTTACTCACCTAATAATTTGATGAAAAACTCGACAGTAGCAGCGCGACAGTCGCCGTGTCGTGGGTCGCGAAATGCTGCTCATGAATATGAGCCTCTAGCATGGTTTGAAACTAGTCGAGTTCTTAGTCAAATTATTACGTGAGTAAGCCGAAAACATAATAATTTATTTAGTATGTCTCACAAAAGTTACAATACAAATTACATAAGTTAGTTTTAAGTATAAACATTTTCATTATTTATAGGCTAACTACTAAATATATTTACAAGGTTGCCAAAGGTACATATCTAATGATTAAACTTTATTCCAGAGGTATTTATTAGTCTTCAATAAAACGGTGAGGTCTTCAATAAAATTCAAGAACAATATATTTTACCTTACGTTTGTTTACGGCGTCGGATAATCAAAACGTCGGTCTTAAAATCCGCTAGCACTTGTACTAAGTAAACCTTTACCGAATAAATCTAGACAAAGACGGAACGAGAATAAAATAAAAGTGGGTTTGTTTCACTTCGATATTCATCTAATGAGGGTTTATCTTAGAAAGAAGAAAGAAAGAAGAAAGAAAAATAATTTATTCGCCACCGACATGGACCACCGAATAACACACAAAATAATAACAAAATAACATTGAAAAACAAAAAAAAAAAATAAAATAAAATAAAAAACAAAGAACAAAACAATAATAACATTAGGAGCTTGTGATGTAAGGTCCCTGATATTGTTCGGTCAGCTTTTGACAACTACGTGATTAAATTAATGTACGCTGTTTTACTGTACAGTCGAACTGTACAAGTAAATCGGAGGTCCATACAACCCACATACTTTCAAGTAAAACTGTACAGTTCAACTGTTAGCTCTAAACACTTTACTGTACAGTCCAACTGTACAGTTAAAACTGTACGGTTACATTATGAGGCGTGTAACCCACATTATAAAGTATGGTGCATTATAATTCACTAGTGCTGCAAAATCGAAGACCCTCGTTGGTAACACAAAGTTGGGTTAAACAGGAGATTTCGATACAATACTATACAGTATTCACCTACTTTATTGATTCTTTAAACACCATTTTACAATATTATAATAAGCCAGTTTGTCTTACTTCTGGGTATAGGTCACTTTAATAGTACGCTGCTTTTTGCATCTAACCACTGCGTCGGGATATTTTATTTAACCTGGTTAAAGTTGACGAATTTCATTCTATGCCTCGTCAGTTAATATTTAAATTATAATTGAATAATATATGAATTCTGCTTATTCACTCACGTAAGTTTAA